GAGAGAGAGAGAGAGAGAGAGAGAGAAAGAGAGAGAGAGAGAGAGAGAGAGAGAGAGAGAGAGAGAGAGACTGACTGACTGACTGATTGACAAGCTGACAGACAGAGAAGTATATCTATTGACACAAGTTCTTCTACAGAAAGCAAGAGGGGCAAAATCTCATAGGCATATGGGCAACAGACTTAAAAACCACCACAAAAATATCAAAACGTATAGAACAAAAAAAGGGTGACAAATACAAACGCGACAGGTTGTAATTAGCATATCTGATAGGAATAACAGAGAATTTAATTTAAAGAAATTTCTTTAAGATGTTATCTTAACAAAATAAAATCCCAAATACGGATGCCAAGAAAAGTTATTCAAGCCCCCTGCAACTTCCAAAAAGTCTGTCCTGTTTCTTTGTTTTTGTGTGTGTGTGTGTGTGTGTGTGTGTGTTTGTTGGGTTTGGCGGGGGTGCGGGTTTGTGCTGGGGGGGTTGTGGGGAGGGGGGAGGGCGAGTATTGTTGTTTTATTTTTTCGGGGTTTTTTGTTGTTCTTGTTGTTGGGGGTTTTTAATACAAATCAAATGGCTACAACTACGTACATTATATTTTTTTGTGGTTGCAAGACGGGGAAAAATCACAAGCCTAAATAAATTACGCCATTACCCGAGGCACGTTTTTCACAACGACATTCTCGAAATAAAAAGACTCCCCCAGAGGAAACCGATCAAGTTCTATAAGGACGCGGTGTGTGTGTGCCTTTATAGCAAATTTTTATAATCCTTCAATAACCTCGGAGCACAACAAACACGAATCACGGGGGAATCTTAGGGGTAAAAACGGGGCATAATTTTAATAAACTTCCAAACAAAAGATCTTTTCGCGTCCCAAGAAGTCCATTATAAACCGAACAATACGCCTCGAGGCTGCTGAAAAGAGGTGCAGAGAACACTGAAGAAAAATCTAATCAAGCTAACCAAGTTAAGATAATGGAGAAATCATGAGATTATGCGCTTCATTCAGCGAGGCCTTCGTGAGTCTTGTTTGCGCGTATTGATCTCCGAATATTTGTCTATCTTTCAGAGGTATTTTATTCGACTTAACAAGGCAATCCGCTTTGCTCTGTCTGCTCAGTTTGGACATGTTCTGTTTTCGTTCCTTACGTGTTGTTTAATTTTTTTGTTTGTTTCCTTTTTTAACAAGTTTTTATGCATTCATTCCTACTTTTTATTTTTATTTTTCTACTTATACTTTTAGTTCTTATTTTCTTATTTTCTTTGTTTTTATTTTCTATAATTTTATTTTAGTTCATATTTCAGGGGTTTATTCAGCGAGGCGGGCGCTCGTATTTTGCGCATTTGTATTGAATTAATGCAAGTACGGAACTTGAATTCTTTTTTTAGAAACTATATTCTTTAACTATTATACTGTAAGAAAAGATTATCATGCAAGTTTATTCCTTTTTTGATGCACAAAAAAGGACAGTCACCGTTTTGTTTGGGGGGGGGTTGTTGTTTTTTTGTTTGGCTTTTGTTCTTTGTTTCTTTTGGGGGGCATTCCATGTTTTCTAGAGAGGAGTGGCAGACTTAGTACAAACAGACAAGGTAAATGAACCGTAAACAGCACCGAGACAAAGAAGTTTTGACAGCATTTATCCTTCATTACAATATTTGAAAAAACAAGCAAAAACGACACCATTTAAGAAACACCAACAACAATAGCAATTGAGAAGTTCACGTCAAGACACTGGTGCTTAGAAAGGTAAGTGTTTTACGGCGCTCGCGACTGCATATGAGCGCACAGGACACATTAAATTTTTGCAAAAGTAAAGAAAGTGAGCCGAAACCGTAGTCCCCTGAACATCCATGTCAATAGTAAACAACAGAAACAGGTGAAGGAGTTTAAATATCTTGGCAGTACTTTTTCTGAAAACGGGTCGATAGACAGAGAACTAGAAATGCGAACTCAAAAAGCCAAGGCTGTCACCTACCAGCTCGCACCCTTCCTATCTCACCCAAACATCTCCAAGGACACAAAGAGACAGCTTATCACCTCAATATTCATACCAACATTATGCTACCAGTGCCAGACCAGGACATTAAGTAAAACCAATGAAAGCAAAATCACCGCACGCGAAATGAAATGTCTCCGCAAACCCCTTAACATCACAAGACGAGACAGGCAGAGAAATTAAGAAATAAGAGCAGCTATTGCCATTGAGTCCTGCCTGCATTACATGGAAAGACAGAATAGAATGCTTTGGCCACCTGTTACGTATAGCACCTGGCCAGCCAGCCTCGAGAGCCTACAACACCAAGCACTCAGGCTATGAAGGAAGAGGAGGGCCACACTAAAGGTGGATCGAGGGTGTCAAGGAAACGCTGAGAAAACATAATATCACAACTGAAAGAGCTGCGGAGTTAACCTACCATAGAAAACTGCATCTCCCCTCGACCTTTAACGGCAACAGAGGATGAAAAACTAAAAGTAAAAAGAAAAGTTCTTAACAAGAGAGTGAGCCCGACCCAGGTTTGGAGTCATAGATGGCACAAGGGGCCATGTGGTCTCCTCACTGGAGACATCCAGTTGTGTATCGATATATGGAGAGAGATCTTTCTCAAATCTTGGTCCATTTATGTGGAACAGATTACCCATGAAACTAAGACAAATAAAAACACTTCCTAGCTTCAAAGGACATCTTAAACATTTTCTGTTCCTACTGGCATATCCTTCATAAGCTTTTAACGTTATTTTTCATTATAGTTGTTCTGTTCCTATGTCTGGCAGTGGCGGTGGGTGAACCTAGATTTGGATGGGGCTTATGTTTCTTCCACTTCTTTACCACCAAAAAACAAGCAATAAGAACAACACAGTGATGATTTTTCTATACTCACGGCGAGCCACGGCATTTTGAAAACCATTCAAACGAGAAGAGTCACCTTTGTCTGCCATCTCTTTGTTCTACGTTAAATTCTTCTGGATGGTGGGGACGAAGACGTTTCACCTCCAAATTTCTCTAATTAGTTTTTATTTGATTATTATTAAATCTCAACGGCACAAACACACAGCACTCCAAACACACACCGTGTATGAGGTGGATTGGGTCGTGTTGTTGCAGAAAATAGAACGCGCCTAACAAAGGCCCAATTGGCGCATAGGTAACTGTGTCACTGGGGGAAAGTGTGTCGTAAACTTTCACCACATTGTCAGGGCTGGGAGAGCGTTAGCCCTCTGTGCAGTGTTATTTTTTTCAAGTCTTCTACCTTTTTACAAGAGGGGTTTCATTACGGAGAGACCGTGGGAACGGGCTGGCTGATTGCTGAGCCCTAAAGACATTTGATTGGCTGTTAGGTTACTATAGTTGTAAGCGGGGACAACAGTGATTGGATAAACGAGCAAGCCGCCTAGTTGATCACTCTGTGTTCATTGCGGTCGATCAGAACAGTTTCAACTGCTTATTTCGTTATTTTCATTTGCCTTGGGATAGACGTGGGGGGGAGGGAGTGGGGCTCAAGCCCGTGAGCCCTTCACTGCCCACCGCCACTGGGCGAACCAGTAGTATATTATCACTGATGAATAGACCAACAAAAGAAAAGACACAGAAAGTATGGAAAGACAATCCTAAACGCAAGAAGCGCCAACTTTGTCTATTTCCATCATTTTGCACCAACAGCGTCTTAAAACTATTCTTGTAACACAATATACATTTTTTAAACGTTCAGGCTTCAGATGGTAGAAAGGCGATTCATTTACGCTTTACAGCTCTTGTTTGTATCAGTGTGTTTGTACCAAAACTTAAATCAACGGATTTAAAATATAAAATGATATAAAAAGAAACTGGTCAGCGTTGTAGCAAAATCATTTCTATAATATAGCAAACAGAAAGTCTCAGATAATGCAGGAAAAGAAAAGTTCGATATTGGCGCATTACATATATTGGGAAAAAGCAGCCTCATGATGTTAAGCTATTCGCAACATGCATCGCATTTATGTAAGCCCAGATAGTGAGAAGTCCACTGCAAAAGCCGAGTTTCAGATATATACACGAGGAGGACAACTGGATTCTGTTTCCGATTCATGTTTATAAACTAGGGCACTTTAAGGCTATGCACTTATCAAACAGTCAACAAGGACTACTCTAAAAAGATCGCATTCTGTTCAAATACAAAACCAGTTCAACAAATTGTGGTGCTTTATGCTACAATTTGAAAAAAAGGATCCACAACCATACATAATTATATCTTTGTACTATATAGATTGCTTCAGTTTTCCAAGTCAGTCTACCTGACATTGTCACATCATAGACAAATTCCCTTTGCTTTCAAACTTCCAGCTACAGCACTGGGTCTTGTATGTGTATGGGCTGGTACAAACATTTCTTTAAAAAATGCCGCTGGGCATGTGAACCAAGAATGGGCAAGGTCTAGCAGAAATATTGATGAAGCACCCAAGGCAAACATCTACGAGACTCAAATGGTAAGTTCTGAAGAGTAACAAAAGAATTTCTAGAGACGCTGGGTAGGATCGATTTGTAGTTTGGCTGCAAAAGATTAAAACTAAATACAGGCAATAAGACTGCTAGAGAAAAAAAAATCTTACAACACAGTCCTTGCTAGCAAGTGCAGACAGTAATATAAGAAGTGTCCCGGCTCAATCACAAATTCATTACACCACGATGCTAGGAAAGACTCAGATAATTACATCTCATACTCTGAAAGAAGCACAGACAGACAGACAGACAGACAGACAGACAGACAGACAGACAGACAGACAGACAGACAGACAGACAGACAGACAGACAGACTACTTATAGACAGACAGACAGGCAGGCAGGCAGCAGGCAGGCAGGCAGGCAGGCAGGCAGGCAGGCAGGCAGACAGACAGACAGACAGACAGACAGACAGACAGACAGGCAGACAGACAGACAGACAGACAGACAGACAGACAGACGTGACCAGGGACGAAGACTCACCTGATCCCTGACGTAAGACTGCGAAACATTGAAGTTGGAGGCCAACGAGACTTGGAAAACGGGCAGCAGCACCCCCGACACAAGGGCCGCCGACATGCTGATGGGAATGCCCGTGTAGATCATGTAGACAAAGAAGACGGTGACCCAGAGGCCGTCGGAGACGTCGTGGGGCTCCGTGTCCAGCGTGATGGTGCACACTACGGCCAGCAACAGGAAGAGCGACAGGAAGGAGATGATCTGGAGCGTGAGGAAGTCCAGGGTGATACGGTACAGCAGCACCTCCAGCACCACGAACGTCAGCACGATGATGCCCAGGACCACACCGCGCACGGGGCTCGTCAAGCCGTTGGTGTAGAAGAAGATGATGAGTAGGAGGCACATGAGGATGCTGATGAGCTGGATAACGGACTGCGAAGACTGGTCCACCTTGATGAAGTAGCGCCGGTAGAGATTCTCCAGCGTGCGGTCGCGGAACGTCTTGGAGCGGAACACCCGCCGCACGCGCTGGAGCGAGCAGGGAGGGGGCAGAATCTCGGCCGGACGCTCCTCTCCGGCGCCCGTGTCGTCCGACTCGACGTCTGACATGTGGGACTGGCTGAGTCGCTTGCTGAGACGCCGTTCCTCCATCTTCAGCTCCCGTGTTTTGCTGGCGTAGCTCTCCTCCCACGCCACTTTCACCGACGTGCGCCGGTCTGAGTGGTGGTTGTTTTCCATTGGTGAGATCTTCTTGTGCCCAGCTAGCTCTAAGGATCTTATGCCCAGCAAGCTCTAAGCCCATTCCACGAGGGGAGTTCCCCTCCCCAGTGTGGTCGTAGCTACAGCACTACGGGGGAGGTCTCACTGAGCCCGGTGTCTCGCCATGGTAGTTCGGGGGTAGTTGTTCTGACTGTCGCAGTGACGTGGAACACGATCTAGCTGCGCTCATATTGTCACTTGGGGCGTTATTCTGATTACATTACATCACGCTTCCCAGATCGTCAAGGCTGCAGGAGACACATACATGGAATCAAAATATGAAGGTCAAAAGGGAAACCCAGGAATATCATTCAATTCAGTAAGAATGAGAAAAGTGTCAGGGTTAGAAATCATAGAGTTCGGAGTCCACAGTGGAGAGCTATACTTATTTCTGTGCTCAGAGTTCATACAAGGCGTGTATTATGTGTGTATTGTGTGTCCCTTTACTATATAAGTGCTCCAGATAAGATGTTCAGATGTCACGACACCTTTGAATTAAAAAGGTACGGTTAGTTTCAAATAGCAAGAAAATTCGACTTCAACAGATACACTTGATACAGTTACTGTCAATGGTACAAGTGAAAAAAACAACATGGGAGGTAAAAATGGTGTAATAAAAACTATAACTGCACACCACAGATTAAACCTAACTAATTAACGAACATGTGGAGCTGGTAGTACGGGGGAAAAGAGATCAGAAATTAAGATGGAACTGAAATATTTTCAATTAATTTTTTTGATTTTTCTGACATCAGCAATATCTTCAGCAGTTAAATTGCGGGTGCATCATCATTGGGTTATATTAGAGGGGGGTTAATACCCTTAAGGCGATTACTCGCCTGGCTTACAAGAGTGTCAGGTTCCAGAAAGAATACACTTTGATATTTTTGTCATCATCATCATCATCATCATCATCATCATCATCATCATCATCATCATCATCATCATCATCATCATCATCATCATCATCATCATCATCATCGTCATCATCATCATCATCATCAATTTCTCCTCCTCCTCCTCCTCCTCCTCCTCCTCCTCCTCCTCCCCCTCCCCCTCCTCCTCCTCCTCCTCCTTCTTCTTCTTCTTCTCTCTTCTTCTCTCTCTCTCTCTTCTTCTTCTTCTTCTTCTTCTTCTTCTTCTTCTTCTTCTTCTTCTTCTTCTTCTTCTTCTTCTTCTTCTTCTTCTTCTTCTTCTTCTTCTTCTTCTTCTTCTTCTTCTACTACTACTACTACTACTTCTTCTTCTTCTTCTTCTTCTTAACAGCACGCTTAATTTATGTAGCACCATAGCAACGACACTCAAAAACATCAAAGACGTCCAAACAGCTTCAAAAACGGTGACATCGACGATTAGAGGTTTCTAAAAATTGAAAAGTTCCTCAAGCTGAAACAAACCATCAGAACAACCACAAATTTCTGGACGATAAAAACCAAGAAGGCGGACAACTAGAGGAAGAAAATCGGATTTATTGCGAATATTATTTGCAAATTGTCTCCAGGCACAAGACATTAATTCGGTTATAGATTCATCCAGAAATATGAATTTCACCATAAGACGAGTCTATTAATTCAAGTAAATTTCATAATCGTGACTAGTGTCGAACAGGGGCGAATGGCCTGAGACAGACAGACAGACCGACAGACTGACAGATAAAAATATAGACAGACAGACAGACAATCAGACAGACAAAAAGAATTACTGACAGAAAAACAGACAGAGACACTGACAGACAGCAGTAGGAGATCTGGTAGGGGTGGGGGAGGGAAGACAGAGAGAAGAGAACTGGACAGGACATTCACTGAGAGCGAGCCCTTCAAACAAACGCCAAATAAAAGAGACACATTGACACAGACACACAAATATCAAACACATATCGAGTTTCCGGAATAAACTCAACGCCACTGAACTGGGTTGCAAAACGAGAAACAATTGCCCCGGCGTTTCACAAAAAGGTTTATTGTATTCTTAAAGCAATATGCAAATCATTTTCTTCCAGGGAGAAACTGGAACATAATTGAAAATTTCTTCTTCACAGTTATGCAAGCTGCTTTGGTGCTTTCAAATTTAATTCTACGCACCATTTCTCAGGCTGTCAGGGGATATTAAAATGTTATTGGAGAGAGGATCAACTGAATATTGGAGATCGGGTCAAATGATCCCCCTGCCCCTCTTTTTTTTTCATTCTTCAACGCAACATTTATAGTTGCTATCGCTGAAAGAAGGCTGGCGTTGCTGTTGCGCCACGTCGAAACTGTCAAGGCAGCCTTCGTGGCTCTGTGTGCTCAGATTTCGAACACAATTCCGACAGCAAAGAAGCCAAATATAGTATCTAGAGTTCCGGCACTTTAATAGAGAAATGCGTGATAGTACATAACAAGCACTATGCTATGATGGTAGGCCTGAAACTGTATTAACAAAGGCAATAAGATGTATGACGGGGAACGTGTTTTAGCGTTTCTTCTGAAAGATTGTAGATATATCATTGTTTACTTCCTTATCCTATTGTATATTCTCCAACGGTAAGATAACTATACCAACCACTTCTCGACCCCAGAAAGACACGGTTCTATATCATTTAGACCAACTTATGAGATATGAGATTCAAACGTTTCCCCGCACTATTCCCAAATAAGAACAAAACTATAAAAATTTGAATCTCAGAAAAGTTTAGTTTTAGTACGAGTTTTACGGCACTTGCAACACAATAAGGTCATATAAGTGCCGAAGATTAGAGGTGTTACAAGAGAGTAACAAACACAAAAAAGGAGGAGGGGAAATAGAGATGATAGATTTTTTATAGGAAAGAAGGAGCAAACCCCACCAGAGTACCCGCCAACCACCCACATCTCAGGAAATAAATATAAGAGTCCTATGTTGTAGACAGAAAGAGTGCATGGAAACGCCTTAGACACTCTAACTCTAACAACTAAAACTGCTTTACTATCCTGAGGTCTTGACTTGTCTCGTGTAAATCATATACACACCATTTTAAAAATCCTTTAAAGCCATGAAAGAAGTTCTGCATCACCTCTCCTTTTGTTAAGATACTCTCCACGAACCAAACGAAATCGTGTCGATGTCATCAAACCTTTACTCTTTCAAGGACACTTTTGCGGGTGGTTTAAGGGTGCCACTGGTATGTCCTGCTTCTTTTCTTTCCCTCTTTTGTTTCTGCCTATCTGTCTTGCTTCTTCATTGCACTATATTACTGTCATTGCTTCGATGTGCTTCTCTTTACTCAAACTCAGAAGAACATTGTTTATTTCACTTGAACAGGAACACGGCAGTGGGTACTTGTCGATGGGATAGGGGCTAAGACAGACATATCGGCATTGGTAAGGTGTATGAAACCCTCGAAGATAACGTCAGGCTTTCCAACCCTGCAGTATTTCCCCACGAGATTCTCACTTCTTTTCTTGAGCTGGTGAATCTGACTTGAAAAGATGGTTACCCTAACAGGACTTTGGTGACTAACTCAACCCAGCAAAGTAAAGGATGGACCCAATCAACTACTGTGACATACTGAAATGAAAACAAAGGAGAGAGGGGAGCCCAAAACACAAAAACAGAAAACAGAGAACTAAAAATAATATACACGGCAACGACTCGACCCCTTCAGGTAAAGGTTTTAAAGAATTGTCTCAAATGCCTTAAAATCACAACATACGAAGTACACTTGTTTCTATGAAAGTTGAAAATGACCTTCAAAGCGCCGGTGACAGCAATGGGCTGATCGGTGCCTTCCCATGCCTGAAACAATTTTTTTTCTGGCGGGCCCAGATCTTGAACATTTCAAGTTAATAGTACTGGTAAACAAATCGTCTTGGGTGAGGTAAAGCTATACCAGTTCCTGCGCTTTTGCCGCATTGGCAGTGATTTCGGTACACCTTGAATCAGTTCAACATTTAGAGAATTTAGATACGCTTCAAATCTGAAAAACTCCTCACAGACATGCACGCTATGGGTAGAAGTAATAATAAAAATTTGACATTGCTTTAAAGTGAACAATAGCGCAAACTTTTATTTTGAGAACCGAGCTAATCTTTTGACGCTGATGAAAACCCAATAGACAGCAAGAAGGCAAGTTAAATAATAATAATTTTTTTTAACAGAAAAATCGGAAATGATATGTTGAACAGAACAAAAGCTGCAGCACTGCCAGGGTTTTGTGACCAGTAGACAAGTTGTCCTGGAACATGTTGAGAAAACTTTGTTTTAATGGCAGTGCTTTAATTAATGGCCATGCCAGAAGACCAGCCACGGAACCGTCTGATGGAATCTCCTTTATGGCCAGTTGCAAGGAGCACATTTGTAACAATTATTTTGCAAGCATTTTATCGGAACTGTCTGGCCGGAGGAGACCCTCACTCAGCTCTGGTTTCATGATCACATTAATGTATCATCCAGGCTTTTCCAATATGCTGTTCTATTCTTGTTTGTTAGGGTTGAAGAGAAGTACACCAACGCAGTAAGACCTTTTGGTGCAGAGAGAAAGCAAGACAGACAGACAGAAAAAGAGGGGCGTAATTAAAGGAGCAGGATCAACGAGTATCCCCCTCCCCTTTTACCCCAAGCAGCTGTGGTGATAGTCAACACCTTTCCTTCTAAACATTTTCCAAGAAAACAAGTACTGATTTGTCGTGTTCGATGAATTGAAAATCTGTACACACGTACAGAAACTTCGAAACCATAACATTTATTTAAAATCTAGGTTTCCTTTTGTGGCTCTTGAATTCTTTAAAAATTACTTTTCACATATAGACACAGACACAAAGATTTCGCACGCCCCCTCCCCCCTCCCCCTGCACCCCAAAAACACAAACACACACTCATACAGACACATGCCCATGCATGAGCTCACACTTATACATTCATACATACATGCATATATACACTCGCACACAAACACACTGACACACAAACACAAACATAAGATTCGACAATCGCAAAAGAATAGAGAGATGTGGACTTACAGAATGAAAACGTGAAACCAGCACAAGAGGATTTGGAAATAGAAGTTAACTAAGGGGCGGGGGCGGGAGCGGGGGGGGGCTACAAGCGCCACGGGGACCCATTTGAGATTTCAGCCACCCAGCGTCGGCAGCGAACCAGTCAATTCCAAGACTCCCCCCTTGATATTCACGAGAGTTCGGAGCCGGTTGCTTGTTTCCCCCGGAGTCTCGTCCGCAATCAACGAGGGAATGGGAAAAAACAGCGCGTCCAGGGCCTGGAAAGGGTGCGAATATAATGGTTATCTCTGGACGCGCCTGCCAAATTGGACGAAGGGACGGCGAGGGTGGAAAAATCTATAGCTCCTGTAGGAAAAGGAAAGAGTCCCTTTTCGAGACACTCCCATGAATCAAGACAGGTATCTAGGGGTCACTAAGCTGCTGGTAAAACCGGGTGAGGTGCGGTGTAGTGGTTAAAATACTCCCCCCATAATCCAAGTCCAAGGTTCGATCCCCAAGAGAATGGCACTGGGGAGTTTAAGAGGGGCAGTCTCATAGCTCCAAAGACTTGCCTTGGCAAACGGAGAACAAAATATGGGCGTCGCCTCTTAACTGGCGAATATACGTTCAGGGATTTATAAATACAACCAAATTTTAAAACAAGCTAATCAGCCCGATTTTCATGAATAAATAAAGTTACAATTATCGTTATGAAAAACCTAAAAATCTACGTTTTTTTAGTCTCTTGCGGGAAAAACTACATCACGGAATGTCCACCCACATCTGGGAACCACTGCCATAGCAAGACAAATGGGCTAAGACTGGTTTGCAAAATAATAATAGCAAACAGATACACAGACGAGTGACGCCTTCCAACAACCTATATCGATTAGTTACCACATCTATTAATATATTATCATGTCTTCAGCTTTTCATTTTAGTCAGAGTTCTACGGTACTCGCAGCTGCATAAGGTCACATGAGCGCACATGACTCAAGTTGGCTGTTTTCAAGTTAGTTCACAGCACGACTTGGTTTTATTTTGTTCCAATGATTGAGATTCAAAATGTCATGGTAGAAATTCACTTGTAAAAACAGTAGTATATATTTTTTAAATAGTACTATCTACATCTTTGAGTAAAGAGCATTGATTGATAAGACATTCCAACTTTTTAAAGCTTCAAAGTTGCTCAGCAGCAGCAAAAGTATCGTAAAGTAAGGAATCAGTGATGACCTATAATAGTGTAGGGGAAAGGCGAAAGAAATAGAGACTACAAAGAGAAAGAAAAGAAGTAAGACCTAACAGTGGCGCCCTCCAATCAAATAAAGAATGACCCGTCACACACGTACTCTAAACAGGCAGAACCACAGATATAATCATAGGGTTGATCGATAAGACAGACGGACAGACAAGTGGGTATAGTGTGGTTGGATAGACCAACAAATGGACGTATAGATGGACACACTGAGATCGATACTGGTGGGTCTTCTTCAGGTCCTGGTATCTTTATGGTTCATTTAAAAAGTGGGTTCAAACAAGAAATTAATGTAAAAATGTATGGAAAATGTCTCTAAGCCTCGTACACCTCACCCGCCATGATGCATTGAACGAGCACAAAGCTCCTCATAAAGGTTTCTCCAGCATTTGAAGAGTAGAAATGACATGCTATCGCATAACGTTCATAATTAGGTCATCATTTCACAACATTCCACGCGGAAGTGCAAGATAAACTAGTATTTGATTTTAATGTCCAACGCTCAACTTACTCTGGAAAATGCAATGGAAGAATAAGAAATTCCTACTAATTCGAGGGGGGAGGGGTTGTATCACAATCTTCAAAAAACGGGAACCGTTTACATAAGTGTGAGTGGCACGGTTAGTTCAAGAAAACAAGAAGATTAAACATGAGAGGACGAACGGAGATTTTTCTTCTCAACATTTGAGACAATTCCTCTGCATACAGCCTGGTGTGCTGAAAGCAAAGTGTTTCAGATTTTTCACGCCCCTCGCTGTTCTACGTCATCGCTTTTCAGCTACCAGTCTACATCAGCATACATCTTGAATATTAACGAATGGGTCTACAATTATAACGAGTACTATACAGTGGCAGTTAAGCTTTACTCTTATTGCATTCGTCCCCCAATAACGGTAGCTCCCTTTAAAAAAGAAAAACCAAAAGCCTAAAAACCAACGACATCTGGCCCTTAATTAGAAGAATCCATTATTACTATTATCTTTAGCATTTAAAAGCCAGCTGTAACTAAAGGAACCACAATTGCAATACGACAGTGAAATGTCTGCAAAGTCTAGACCAACAATGAGTTTGAGGAAAACATATCTGCCTCCTATTACTCAAAAGTCATGATTGAATTAGGGATGACTGAGGGTTTTAGCCACATAGAAAAGGAAACGTATCTGAGCCAAGAAACATAGGAAAAGCAAATGTCAATAGCTTACTCCCAGTTTGGCTTAGAAAAAATACTACAGGTGGTCTTGCAACTGTAACATACGCCTGTAACTCCTATAGGCCCTAGTAACAAATACGTGAATCTAAAAAAAAAAATTCAAATTACTTTAAAGACTTTCTTTCCAAACATCATTAAGGTCTCATTTGTAACTATGAGCATGACAAGAATTACATTAGACAGGATTTGGGTTCCGGGTAGTTTATATTTTCAAACACACCAAACACCACTCTTTTGAAAATCCGACAAAATTGCCACATTTTCCTTGTGTTTACTTTTTTTTAATGGGATGATTACGTCGCAGGAAGAAAAGTACGGTGAAGCTCTCTAGAGATAGATACCAATAACATGAATGGACGGAGCCATGTAAGAAAAGTAAAAAGTTTCTAATAACGCTTAATTAACAAAGAAAATTGCGAAAACTCCCATTAAAAGAGTGAAGCGATAATTTGGCACCAAACATCTAAATGTCACAAGGGATGTATCTGAGGAAAGGAAACGGGTGGTGGCTGGTTGGGTGGCAGGCAGGAGATGACACACACACACACACAATAACACACACACACACACACACACACACACACACACACACACACACACACACATAGTGAAAGAAACAGAGATAAAGAGATAGAGAGACAGAGAAAGGGAGGAGGGGGAAAATGGCCACAAGTATGATTACGACATGTCTGTGTCTCTGTGTTTTGTTTCCTGCAAGCTTAGGGGAGCTCGTCGGCTCATGAGTTGTTATTTAGTGCTGAGAAAAAGTTAAACGACAAACTAATCGAATAGGGATATAATATGCAAGCTGTAAAACATTTTCACAGCACCTCTCACCAACCCAAAAGGAGTAGGCGAGGAAGAAAAAAAATAACCCCAGAGTTAATTAAGGTGAAAGGAACGGCGGCAGCAGGGTAAACTGTGGTGAAGCTGGTCATATTACATACATGACGAAGACAGTCATTAGTTTTGGCACTCTCCGCACACAGAACGAATTATTCTGAGAGGTTTTCCAGGTCTCGATCCTCTTATATTTTATTAATGGACACCAGCATTGATTTCCAACCATCCACATAGCCTACCAAGTCTATTCCCAACACGACTGCAACAGACAATTGGGCTGATTGGTCGGAAAAGTGACCAGAACTGACACGGCGGATAATTAAAGATACCAGAAAAAAGTCAGAATTAATCAAAAGGAAAACGAGCAATTTTTTTCTTTTATACAAAATTTTTCATTTACACGTCTTCAGGAGAATTATCACCTCAAATAATAGATAAATCTCTGACATCTCAGACGCATGATCTAGTCAAAAAGAGTCCTTTCTATTTCTAAGATGATAGTAACGCTTTCAAGAAAACAAACCTGAAGCAAAATAAGATCATGACGCTAGGCAGCGCCCACGTTTGCAGAAAAATACAGAATCTAGGTAGTGGGGGTGGGACGAAAAAAATAAATCAAGAATCAGCTAAATACATAACCATTATTGGACGGCTTTCGCTGTAAAGTACATTACCCAGTGAAAAGAATGGGGGAAAAGCGGACAGTTCCGTTTCCAAGTCAAAGTGAATTCAACTTGCAATCCGATAACAAAAGTAAAAACATTCGCCAAGACACCTTTTGACACTCCAGTGTGTTCATAGTCCCCACTCTGGAAAGCAACTTCAGTCATGAATCGAATTATGCATAGTATTTACACATCATGGAGCTTCTGCCAATGAGCAAAACCGTCTTCTTTTTTTTTAATGTTTAGCACACAAAGCTCATTGGTGAAGACACCTAGCACTGCTACGCGTTCCTCTACTATTCATAGTTCCCGCTCTGGAAAACAAAAACCAGAGACAAATATATCCTGACAAGAAGGCGAGAGGATGCTTGGACCCGTGTGGTGGTGGCTGCGTGGACCGCTGCGGCGGCAGTGGAGTCGTGCCCCGTCATGTAGGTGAGTGGCACCACAGAGTCCGTCGGCGGGCCAACAACAACCCACGGCGCCACTGGGAGTGTTGTCCAAGTCCTGGTATCGCATCTAACTCACCACAGTTGCTGTACTCGAGTCCAATACGCACCTTTTTTTTTTACACCAGCATGGACTATTTAATTATCTTACACGAATTATCCGTCGACTAGAATAAAAATGCATCAATAAATGTGGAAAGGGGAGATGAGATGGTTTGGGGAGTTTTCCATACATTTTGAAAACTTTTTCTCCTGTTCAATACTAGCAACGATTGCTTATTTGTACCTCAACCCCCCTAAAAGGGTGCAATTTACACGAGCACGAATCGCAACCTTAGAATCATAAAGTTCTATCTGACGTTTTTGGCTGTTTTAAGTTACTAAGAGCATGGGGTCAGAAACCATATGTTCTAGTAGCTCAACCAAAATCGTAGGTCATTTCAGAGTCGTTATCAAGATATTCAAAGAATTGCTTTCGAAAAAGCTTGATGTGTAGTGAAACTCAATTTTTTTTAAACGGTAAATTTCTCAAAACGAAATACAAAGCAAAAGGAACTTTGTAATTCTAGAGTAGCGTATCATGTGTAAACCTAGACGCTAATCGCTCAGATGAAGACACCTTTGCCGGTTTGGTAAATTGGGATTCTTGTACATTCTTGTACATTTGTCCGCAGCCATTTTTGTTATCCTAACTTCTGAGCACCACAAACGTCCTTATTACTCTGTTCCTACTTTATATAATTCGTAGAAATGAAAGGTCCGTGCAATAGATATATACTTTGATTATAAATAAGTTGGATTTGGGGAGGTTTGGGATTATTATGACTATAAACAACTGGGCAATGCCGTGCGCCAGCTGAACAAGCTGCTGTATACTTGGAGTTAAGAGTTTTTTAAAAGCCTACTATTTTTATAACGCTCTTGTTTAATAGTCACATGTAACATCTTCGGCTCAGCCCATGATGTGTTCTTTCAAAACTCAAAAGGCCTTGTGCCATGGAACAGTTGTTATTGAGGAGATCGAACTTATTAACGGTACCGTAAGAGTGACATTTTTTTTAATTGGGAAAGTTGAAAACTGCTAGTCTTTTTTATCTCATACCAATCTCGCTGCCTCTTTTACAGCTCAAAAGAAGCAACGCTAATGACGCATAACAAATACAAGATACAAACTAACGAAATGTACATCTGCTTGACAACGGGTAAACATTTGACACTGAGGTGGTGAAATTAGAAGCTGCCCTTCTACATGTACCTGATTTGACGAAATGGGAGGGCCAGATTGAAACACATACACACACACACAAACACATACACACACACACACATACACATACACACACACACACACACACACACACACACACACACACACACACACAAGCAATCGTATCTGCCACACACATTCACAAATTATGAGAGACTCGATTTCATTGCAGGTACGTTACGAAAGGACACTTGATAAAGAATTCAACCGCACATCACAAAACTCAAGATTACTCCCATTAAATGATTCCTGACACGCCCTTTGATTTCTGTGCATGTGTGTGTTAGTGTGTGTGTGTGTGTGTGTGTGTGTGTGTGTGTGTGTGTGTGTCTGTCTGTCTGTCTGTCTGTGAGTGCATGTCTGTGTGAGGGAGCAAAGTGTACGAGTGAGGGTGTATGTGTGAGTATGTGTGTATGTGTGTGTGTGTATGTGTGTGTGTGTGTGTGTGTGTGTGTGTGTGTGTGTGTGTGCATGTGTGTTTGAGAGAGCAGAGTGTGCGAGTGCGTCTTTGTATATAATGTGTGTGTGCGTGTGAGCGTGGTTGTACATACGACGTTGTGACAAAAGGTCACAGCTCTAGCAATTTGATCAGAAATACTCAACAACCTCTCAGGAAATAGACGTTTCAATTTCCAACCTCATTTGGGCAGACATGTCCATAATATGTTCTGCTGCTTATGGCTGTCGTTTAGTCGAAAAACAATTTTTTTTTCTCAAACATTTCCTCTTCGGCCCACTGTTTACAACATCGAATTGTGTTTGTGTAAAATTGTGAGACCGATATTGTATGAATCGATAGGCGGTTGGCCTACTATAAAAGTGAGACGCCACAAAAAGAAATGAGGCTACTATTTCCGGGAAAGAGAAAAGTATTGTGCCAAAGCCTGGACTGGTGTCCTTTGTCCTATCACAATCGTGCCAGCGTCAGGTCTTCCATCATACCTGAAACATGAGATCCAACATCTCCAACTTTGCCTGCACTTTTATCTATCTCTACCTATCGGTAAAGGTCATTCTGAACTCCCGATTCGGAACTTACCCAGACATGCGTGTACTACGAACATCCGAAGTTTCCACTTTCCGGGTGGTCACACTTTGGGTAGCTCCGACATCATGGAACAAAGACTCCTTAAACTTGAATAGTACTTTTGGCCTATCCATCCATCCATCCATCCATCCATCCATCCATCCACCCATCCGTCCGTCTGTCCGTCCATCCGTCCATCCGTCCGTCCGTCCATCCATCCATTCATCCATCCATCCATCCATCCATCCATCCATCCATCCATCCATCTATCTATCTATCTATCTATCTATCTATCTGTTATCTATATATCTATCAATCTATTCCGTCTATCTATCTACCGATCTATGGACCGATCGATCTATCTATGAAACAACTTGCCTCTCTCTTTCTTTCTGTCTTTCAATCTGGTCGTTTCTCCTCTATCCATCCGTCCATCTAAGGATTATGCTATCTGCCCATCTATCTCGATACCGTCATTTTACTTTAACCAACAAAATGTACTATTTAGACTAAAGAACAGAACAATGAAACCACACACAAATTGGAGCACGATACTATAATTTATGAAGCTATACAGTTCAGAACATAGTTATGTATCCGTGCGCGCTAAATGAGTACTCACAGAACACAGGTTCGGTACTATCTATCAGACAGACCTACGTGATTCGTAATCAAAATCTTTCAACTGCAAAAAGAAACGGGTTAAACTAAGACTAACCTAAGATGATTAGAATCGAGCGAAAAACGAAAAATCAGTTCTATTGTGACAACTTCAAAAGCGTTACATTCGAAGCAAAAATCTTTTTCTTTGTAACCTGAACGCACCGCGCACTGACCTAATTTCGGCCCCCGTTGTTGGTTTCAGTAAAGTAACCTGGCGTGCAGTGAAACAGGATACACGATTCAAGTGTCACGCTACCTGAACAAATTATGATCACAGACAACGCTATATGTGAGTGGCTTCGAGCGAGTTTTAAGGCCCTACTACACAGAGCATAAAATTTTTCTTTTTAGAAAAACAGACAAGGTCAAAGGCAAATTAGGAAGGGCGAGAGAAGAACTTACAATATGACAGTACGTTTTATCGTTGTTGGTGTTATTGTTGCTGCTGCTTTTGCTGTTGCTGGTGTTGCCGCTGCCGCTGGTGGGAGTAAAGGGGGTGGTATTGTTGTTGTTTTCTGATTTTTGGGGGAGGGGTCTTTTTCACTTTTCTTTTGGGGGGAGGGGAGGGGCTGGTTTTAGTTCTGTTGGTTGACTGATTGGTTTGTTGGTAGGCAGGCTGCCAAGTTGCTAAATAGGTTGTCTAGTTGACTGGTTTGTTGGTTAGTTGGTCGATTGGTTGATTATTTGGTTGGGTGGGTGGTTGGGTGGGTGGGGAGAGGTATTCCTGTTTCCTTGCACTGCTGTTCGTTTCATTTGTTTTGATTCAATCTTGTTTGTTGGGGGTGGTCTTTATTATTTTTTTCTTCTACTTTTAATGTATTGGGGGGGGGGGCGCTTTGTCTGCTTGCCTTTTCAATCTTTTTGCGTGCACGCTGAGGGGAGTGGGGCCACTTTTTCTTCCTTTTTCCTCATAAAACCGCGGTAAAGGTGAATCCTGATATCGCAGTATGAACCAAGAATAGAGTACGCGAGTGTCCACACGCAAAGGTCGGGAGGGTGTCAGGTGATCGACCTGATGAAAGGTCAGAGGGGAACATTGCAGCCATGGAGGCGGAGGAACAGCACTGAGACCTAACATTGATGTGAGTATCCTATTCAGTTGAAGGTTAAAGGCCAGTTTCAGATCTATGCAAAGGAGCAAAAAGCTTGAGTTCAAATGCCTTTCCATTATTTTGTCACTAAAACAATTCACAAAAATATGAAAGAACTAAGTGTGGAACCCGTGCTCCAGTCCGCGTTTCTGTCCTAGTTCGTTTGCAGTTTGGGTTTTTGTTTTGTTTTGTTTTTTCTT